ACTGCTAAAATCCTCAGAGGACCCAAAGGGCTCTAAAAATCATGTGAGAATTTTATACACCATGACACCCTCCATGCGTAGCAAAGTAGACAGGATTACTCAAACCACAAAGTGTCATTTAACTACAGTAAAACTAGAAACTAGCCTGCCCTGAAAAAAAATGGCTCCCCGCTGCATTTTTATAAACAGAGCTGCTTCATGAAAAGACATTGATCTGTCACTTTGTGAGATGCTCTGTGGCCTGCCCTTTCTAGGCCAGGTTACTGGCATACTCATCTTTGAAACAAAAGAACAATTCCATAGAAACTGTGGACTCAGTTTCCCTACTCTGCTTTCTCACAGACACAAGGTTTGCTTGTACCGACTTCAGCTCTTGACTTCCTGATTACACCTGATCAAGGCACGGAGAGAAGAAAACCTCTAGCCAACTTGGGAAGGACCCTAGCAGCTGTCATTTACAACTGAGAGCACTGTTCACAAGACTGAGACTCGTTACACTCCAGTTATATGTTACTCTCACCTGAAATTAAGGGAAAATGGAGATCAATTCCAAAGTCCACAGACACCAAAGTAAACTTCAAAGAATTATACTGCAAATTTCATGGTTAGCTGAGACTTCCCATGTTATCTTCACTATCTGTATAACTGTGGTTTCCTCTCCTCTGAACATCACATTTCATGCATGTCTTTTCCCCTTTTGTAGAAACTTTCAAACCAAAAGCAGTGTTCTGGAGCTGATAAATATCTCTGCCCCTCCAGCTAAAACAGAAATAAATATAGTGTTTCAGAGGCCCTTGCAATGATTGGAAGGACATTTGGTGGACTCCTTACTAGACAGTTTGGATTTATAAACTACCATCTTCAAATTCACTGAGAGCCTTAAAAATACAGATAATATAAGGAAACCCCTCTTGCCACTACCATGCCCTGGAGAATAATCTCTTACTACTGGCGAATGATGATGTTCAACCCATGAATCAAGAACATGGAGTTATTAGAATTTATGAATTGAGTGCTGCAGTCTCAGGCTATGATCTTCTGGTTCTCTCTGCTTTAAAACAGGCCCTAAATGCCACCAACATGTTCTTTCCTTCCATTATCGTGGTTTTGACCCTACAGACTAGCTAATGCCACTTCTATAGTCTAGTAGTGACTCTGCTAAGGTCACTGTGGTAGAAGTTAAAGGCTTTCAGTCACCTCTGGCAATTTAGACTGGACACATGCAAATAAATATCTGCATGAAATGGATTAAACATCCTGTTAGAAAACTTAAGTATAAAAAGGGATTGCTATGGTTGAAAAGCAAGTGAGCCAGAGGCTCAGGTAGTCCCCTTTCCAGTAAGATGGACCTCAGTCGTGGTGGAATATGTGATAGCCAGCTTTCAAACCCAGATCCCCTAGGGCAATGGGTCCAGCCAGACTTTGTCATTTCTGTTCAATATGATGAAAGATAATAGGCACAAGCCTATAAGAAACATAAGGCAGAAGTCCTGGATAACTAATTATAGCTCATGTATAAGGTGGCAGGTGGCAATTGGAATTTGTGGGTAATGCATGGAGATGTACTGAATTTAGGTTTTTTGATGATCTTGGCAATCAGGCAGCGTGGGCTGTGGCTGTGGTGCTGTTTTAGGGCTCCATTATGTAAGGCCTTAGTGGCTAGCTGGAGTGAAACTTGTGCTTTGGTCCAACTGGCCACCCTTTTAACCTTATATTTAAATGCCTTAATCCATCCCTGAATCTATTTTGTACCAAGGGAGAAAATTTATCACAAGACAGATCCTTTGATTCTTATATTTACTTTGATCCCAGAGCAGTCCTTGAGGGAGTACAAAAAAGAATTTCAGGCTAGAAATTAAATAGCTGCAGCATGAGAATCAGTAGGATTTTGGTGGTCCACCATCAACAAAAATTGGCCAAACTAGATGTTACATAACTAAGACAGGTTTGTTAACTATACTAAAGAAGGTATTAAAGGAATTGCAGAACAACTAGGCCCCAGCAAAAAAATGACCTTGGAAAATCATCTGGTTTTACACATGATTTTGGCAAAAAAGTAGGACAAGTATAGCAACAAGCAGCCAATGTTGTACTTTCATTCCAAGTAACATAGCTCCAGACATTATTATTATCAAGGTGCTAAACAACTAGAAGCAACACTGAGTTAGTAGCAAACATTGAGTTAGTCGAAAACCCAGGAATAGATGACCCTTTCTCTGACCTAACAGAACAATGGCTTAGATGTTGAAAAAGAATAATTACCTCCATCCTCAGTCCTCTTATCACTATGTTTAGGGCAGTGACTCTCTCGGATGCTGCATCATTCCCTAAGAGGGTTAGTGCAAAGCCTGATACAGACAGCCTTACTCAGAGATCTCCTCTTACCTAAGCAACCAATCTACTTCTGTTATAAACCCCAGACCCAGATGACGAGTCAAGCAATGTTTGTCCAGTTTGAAGAAAACTATAACATTGTGTCATAAAGAAGGGGAAATTGTGGGTAAAAGGTAGTCTTTTCTATCAAATGGGGATATTTAGAATTGCTGCATTTTATAAGAACTGCTATTATACCAAAATTCTCTTTTTGTAGAATATGCACATATGGTTGTTTCACATCCCTTACAAGAAAAACTCGGGACAAAGTGGCCATATGCTAATCCACCTCATCTTTGACAAAGGAGCCAACCATCCTCACTGGAGGAAAGATAGCCTCTTTATTAAATGGTGTTGGAAAAACTGGATTTCAACTTGCCCAAGATTAAAACTAGACCCCAATCTTCCACCATGCACTAAAGTCCAAGTGGATTAAAGATCTAAATATTAAAACAGAAACAGTAAACTTGCCAGAAGATAAGTTAGATAGAACTCTTGAAGATATTGGCATAGGAAAAGACTTTAATCCTCAGTAGCATGGAAATCAGCACAAAGAATCTACTTTTTAAAAATACTTCTGCATTGTCAGAGAAATCACCAGCAGAGCTAAGAGACAACCTACAATGTGGGAGAAAAATTTTACCAGGAGCTCCTCAGACAAAGGTCTACTACCTGTAACATATAAAGAACTAAAAATATAGACTCCTCAAATATAAAGACCCAATTAAAAAATGGGCATCTGAAATGAACAGAAATTTCTCAAAGAATTAAAAGAAGCATACTAACATATGAAAAAATGTTCCAACATCACTGGTCATTAGAGAGATGCAAATTTAAACAACACTGAGATTCCACCTCACCCCAGAAAGAGTGGCTGCTATCATTAAATCAACAAGTAACAAAGGCTGGCATAGTTGTGGGAAGAAAGAACCCTTCTCCATTGTTGGTGGGAATGCAGACTAGTGCAACAAGGGTGCAAATCAATATGGAGATACCTCAAATACCTAGGATTGAAAGTCCAATTTGACCCAGGTATTCCTCGGCTGGGTATCTTCCCAAAATATTTAAAAGAATCATACCACAATGATATATGAACACCCATGTTTATAGCAGCACAGGAATAGCTTCTCTGGTGTGAAAAACTATAAGTGTAAATAACTATTAAAATGTATAACTGATAATGTGAAATAGGAAGAAAATGTCTACAAGGGTGGGGGAAGTGAAAGGTGTAGGGGAAAGGAAAGAAGGGAAATGAAAAAAAATGAGAAGTGGAAAAACATGTAGACAAAGCCTTTGTAAATATGGAAGGGTGGAGGGGATGAAGGAAGGCAGGGGAATGGGGAAAAAATAAGAACAAAGATACATCATATAAAGGTACAAGATCCCTATGATGAAAGTAACTGTATCATATACCTAAAATGTACCAATAAACTTAATGGAAAAAAATAAAGAACATTTAAAAAATCCAACCTCACAAATGAACAGACATTTCTCAGACAAAGAAGTAGAAATAACAAGCATATGAAAAAATGTTCAGCATCACTAGTCATTTGAGAAATACAAATGAAAATGCTGAAATTCTGCCTCACCTTAGAAAGAATGGCTGCTGTCATGAAATCAACTAACAACAATTTCTGGAGGGTGGGATAAGGAATCCTGCTCCACTGCTGGTGGGAGTGTAGACTATTGCAAGCACTGTGGAAATCATTATGGAAATACCTCAAGGAAATAGGATTAGAGGTCCCATTTGACCCAGCTATTCCCTTACTGGGCATCTTCCCATAACAACTGAAAGAATCATACCATTAGTGAATTATGCACAACCATGTTTATTACATCACAGTTTGTAATAGCTAAAATCTGGAAACATTCCACTTGCCCATGGATTGGAGACTGGATAAAGACAATCTTTTTTAAATATATAAAGTGGAGTACTACTCAGTCACAAATAATGAAAATTAGAGACATTTATACTTAAATGGATGCACATTGAGGTGATGCAGTTAAGTAAAAAAATAGGGCACACATGTGTAAATACTGAATAGTTTCTCTGGTGTGAGCAACTGAAAGTGTAAATAAGGACTAAAATATATAATAGATAATGTGAAATAGGAAGAAAAGGGGCAACGGGGAAGGAGAAATAGAAGGGTTATGGGAAAGGAAAGAAGGGAGTGGAATTAATATGAATAAATGGAAACAAAGTCTTCATAAATAGGGAGGTGTGGAGAGATTGAATGGAGGGCAGGGGAATGGGGATAAGTAAGAACCAAGATGGATTCCATGAAGTTAAGAATATGCAGTGATGAATGCCATTTTATTGTATACCTAAAATATATCGATAAAATCAATAAAAAATAAAATAAGTTCATAAAGATACAATTGTGAGATGTACAGAGAGAAGATCTGTAATGGAATCTATAAAGGCAATTGTCCCCATAGGAACTATTAATTCCAATGTATACATGAAGCTTCTATTCCAGCAAAGCAAAACCAGAGGTGAATACACTTCACTGGAGAGGATTGCATGAAAGAAACAGTGAAAAAACCTGAAAGATCACCCGTGTCCTCTCCTATGCTGCACACAGCCTCATCCCCGTCTGTATGAAGGACCACTCCGTGGATCTTACCTGGACTCTGAAGTTGGGGAAAAACTCTCCCTTCCGCCTTCCAGAGCAGTTCTTTCTCCACTGAAAGAAAACTTAGATCTGATTCACAGAGCTGGAATCCTGTTCGAGGAAAATAAGGGCATTTTTATTTTTGTGGCAGGAAATACACACTTTGATCAAGGACATGGAATGCAGCTTAGAATAAATAAGGAACTAGATTTTAGATCTAGGAAATATATTCAGAAAAAAATCATTGAGTGAATTTTCTATATTAAAAGGAAATCTAGAATGTGTGTCGTAATAGTATAGCCATTAGGATTCTTGTATTCACTCCTGATTTTAAAGAAAGTGAAGAATTATCAACATTTCAAAAATAATAAAGTAAATATGTCCATGGGAGAATGAATACTATTTAAGTAAAATCTATCACAAATCCCTCAAGAATATTTACATTACTTTTCTTTTCATGTCTCGTTCAAAATTCACTTGATCTTAGCCAAAAGGCTGAGAAGTGATATCTGGCTCAAAATTCAACATGCTGAATTTAAAATAATTCTTTTCTATTGTATTTATAATGACAAAAAAATTCATTCAATACCTGGGTTTGCTCTGGATTTTGGAAATTTGCTTGCAATAAAGGCGTGAAAACAGGACAAAAGTCAACGTTCAAGGTTGTTAAAAAATTGTAAATGAATGTAACTGAAAACTTTCTCTCACAAAGGTGTAAGGTTTATGAATAAATTCAGATGGACTGATTGGGAAATGGGTCATGTATTCTAGAAAGTTGATGCTAGAACACTTGCATGACTGAAGATAGAGACAGTGGTGGACTCACCAAGGGATAGGAGGTGATTAATGTTCTCCAACATCACATCTCTGAACAGCTTCCTCTGAGGAGTGTCCAGTAGGGCCCATTCATCTGGGGTGAATGTTATGGTCACATCTTCAATGGTCAGTGATTCCTAGAGGATTGTGGACACTGCAGTTTAGACAGAGGAATAGTGACAAAGTTCTTTTTGTGAAAACCCAGATTATAGCTCTGAGGCAGAGGAAATCCTTCATACACAGAGAGATTTAATTGTTGAGGGCAACACAACTTCATTCTCAGCACAAACCAAGGACTTAAATTTCAGAAACCATCCAATAGAAACACACTCAGAGTTCATAAATTCATTATTATGAGGAATAGTTATGAGAAATTTTACATGGTATGTGGTATAGAAAACCTTTGAAATTTTTCAATGAAATGGTAGTTATAACTTTTATAAAGGTTGTTATGAAATATGTAGTTTCGAATTTATAAAAATAAGGTCCCTGATCATTTTAAGGCACTTTCTTACATAAAAGCAGTAAATAATTCTCATCACTATTTTGATTTGCAGTATCTAGAATGATTACAGTTGTTTCACTTTCACATGCACCGCTTCACATTCCTCACCTATGAAGCCATTTCATAGACCAATGCGAATGTGGACAGATCCAAGGAATAATTTTCCTACCTCAGAGACAGGTATTGCAATTGTCCTTTCTATTATTCATAAGACAGAAACAGACCCTAGAAGGATGAACCCTCACCCCTGATCGCTGTCCTCATCTGTGGGTGTGGTCTGTCTGCCCTGGACAGGAATCACATTTGCAGAACAAGGCTCAGGACAAAGCAGACTCAGGACGTCAAGCAGAACTCATCCAAACTCTCTTTGACTGGGATATTGTCCTCTGTCCTAGATGAACTTTCCTGAGCTATGAAAATTCTCAGTTTTCTCTGAAAACTCCCAATATTATTCTTGAAGTTTTCCTCCACGGATGTGGTCACTGCGTTCACATAGAAAAGAAGCTTTGTATCAGCCACTGCGCATTCAGTTCTTCCAAGATCACCAGGGCCCTCTAGTTTTATTCCATTCATCCTCTTACTACGCTCTTCAGTTAAGATGACAGCCAAATTAAGTTAATAGTCCATCCAAGAGTAACATACGTCTGCCAAATAGGAAAAACTTCTTAATAATAGGTAAGAACTATGACTGTGATCAAGAGTATTTAAGTGTTTTGGGTTAAATTTTGAAGATTTTTTCACGTTGAAGTAGGTTCTATTCAATTTATTAAGTGTAAAATTAATTAAATGACCGGTAATTGCAATTCTTCCCAAACATCTTTCATTGTTTTCCAAAGCTTATAGATTTAATGTCAAAATATGCGCTTCCTTGTTGATTGAATTCACATAGTGAATCATTTACCCTCCTCGCTGGCGTTGGCTGCAGGGTTCTACTTGTCCCGGATTTCTGTGCCCTGCATTCAGCACAATTCTAACAGCATTAAATTCTAACAGGCAAGGGAGCTACTATTTCTTTAAAAAGCACCAGGGACTAAATGAGGAAGAAAAGAACTTACATTTCTTCTGTACATGCAAAGCCAGAGTATAGATGCACAAAGACACTGACACCAGTATGCAAATATTTTATATTATAGTATTATATACATATTATACAGGAAATAAGATACTATGAGATTACAGCCTGTTAAAATTATATCAGTGTGAAGAAAAATCCTGCCTGAAGTTTACATGCTTTAATCCCTCCTACTCGCAACTTGAGACCTACTCTCGGTAAGCGTGTAATATCAATGGAACGCCACATTCCAACTCACCTGGGGATGCAGCGCCATTCACAGAACTGTCATTTGCCTCCCGGCACAGAGTCCCTCACAGGCTGTCCAAGAACTAAGCACTGAAAACATGAACAGAGAAAAACGTCATTAAGACTGCAGTCTGTGCAGAAGATTTGAAATCATCTTTTAGGAAGTTAGAAATATTCATGGAAATGTTAGCCTACCTTCAACCAGCATAAAAATACAGTGCATTTGGACAAAACCAGGGACAAGGGGCTTAACTTTTCTGAAATAAAATTGGAGCATGTCGTTCTGGTAAATAAGGTACAAATGCAGTCATCTCATAGTTAAGAACATGAAAAGCATTGCCTCAAGTGTCCATTGCTTTGTTTAGCCTTTTAGATCAAATGTAATAAATTCCTTCCCTCACTGAAAAAACAGAGATACCTGTGAGCCCTCCCCATGTGGGACTCAGTTTCCATCTTTAGATAAACATGGTAAAATTTTTCATACTACACTAGATTTGCATCATTTGGTAGCAATGATCCTCTGATCTCCATCTTATTCCCCAGATGCCTCACTGTTTTCTCAGCTGTGAAGTTGGACCTTTCTCTCCAGGGATGGCTGGCAAACATGGTAAGATGTCGTGGAAAGGGATGAATTGACACTGACACTCATTCTCCCGGGGGCTCAGTCACTGACACTTGACCTGCACTTGTGCCTCTTAAAATATGCTGCTGCAGAAAGTAACAGGACTACACGTTGATCATTTTGCTGTCACTATTACAATAACTTCAGACAGTGCTGCTCAGAACCAGTGCACATGTAAATTACGAGGGTCATGTATAAAACTCCTTGCTCAGACAATTCATTCCAGTTTCACCTGCAGTAGTTTCCATGCTGTTTTGTGTTAATCTCCACTTCCATAAAATACCTATCTTACATTTGTATGTACACCTTTTTATATGTGAGAAATACTTTAGAAACTGTAATGTCTCCCCCAAACTCGCATATGTACTTCATTACAAATAATGTTATGTTGTGAATAAAAGTAAAATCAATTGACTTGTTTATATAGGGTATTTGAATAAAATAAAACATCATAATATATGAGACTGTTTCTGAATATATAACTCTAGTTTTATCAGGTTAATATTCACAATAGCTATGATTTTCCTAGAGCTTTAACCAATTTTTCCAATGACAAATATAATTAGAGAAATCCTTAATATAACCAAGCTCTGCAGGTTTGTATTAAAAGAGTTACATGTTCTGCTGGGCTTTGATTAGTATTTTACAAAATTGACAGATGAATCTTAAACTCAGAATGACACTTCCAGTGTTCATAATAAAAAGCAACACTGCACCTACAGTATCTTCTGGTCTTTGCTTTATCAGGAAATTACTAATCCCATAAAATTTTCTACCATTTGGCTAGTAACAAGATATTCTCCCTACTTCCTAAGTGTGAACCCCTCTCTTCTCATTTCACTGCCCATTTTAATACACAGTAACAAATCTGAACACGTTTAAAAGAAATTTCTATGTGATGTTTCAGGTATCTGAAATAGCCCGTTTCACTTTAACAGTCTTGTCTACTGTCATTAGTCTTCAAAGAACAGCCATTCACTACCAAACTAAATCAGTATTTTGGATGTGCTTCTCTCAGTTTTTGTTTGCTTATTAGCCACTTCCTACAAGCATTTCCACCACAATGTGAGGCAACTCATAAGGAAGCTGTTTCTTTTAAAATACAAACCACCACGAAAAATCTAAATGTACATAATGCTTCTGATTTCTTTATTATCTGTAACCTTTGGAAATTCATCAGATGAAACTACAAATTTAGCAGATGTCTTGAGATCTGTATATAAAACACAAATAAACTCTAATTTCAACTCTCATTTATTAGTGTACCAATCTTTAAAAAAAGAGAGAGAAAGAAAGAAAACTCAGCTCCAAAGATAGTCTTATACCATTCTTTTAAAAAAGGAAATTGATCCTTTTAATTTTACACCCACCCCACCACCCCAATTTAAAAGACATTATTTAATTGTCTTGGTCATAGACATTTCCAAGATGAGATCTTATATTTCATTCCCATAGCTTCTGGTTGTCAGGAAACCTATCTTCCCTTTATTGAAAAGAGTTTGGTCCGGCTGATGTTGTTGTATCCCTTCCAATATTTTCATCCTCATCTTTGCTCTGAAGGCATTTCCTCTGGTTCACTATCTTCATCTGCATTAAAAGCTGCTGCTACTGAAAGGGTTTTTGGAGCAAGAGTTGGAGCCGTTTCTTTAGGTTTACTTGATCCAGGTTCGATGGATGTAGCTAATGCTTTCTTTGTTGTCTGACTAGCTATGGCAAATCCCAACTTGGAGATCTTTGTAGGCTTTGTTGGGAGGTCGCAGCTTCTTCTTCAGCTGATCGCTTCTCAGCACTGCGACTGGCACTCCCCCTCTGCTACTGGAAGAAACAGTCTTGGTTTTCTCAGGTTTCTCTGCTTCTTGGGGTGCTCTGGTGGTTCGAGCTTGCTTCAGCTTCTCAGGCTTCTCCTGTCCCGCCTTTCTGGCCGCAGCCTCCCCTGCAGCCACTCCAAGGACATCCAATTCTCTTTTGGTTCAAAGGTGAAGATCCCAATGATGAATGTAACTGTATTGTATACCTAAAATGCACCAATAAACTCAATGAGAGGAAAAAATAAAGGTGACATTCCTTGGAATTGATACCCTCTAACTTCCGTGATCTTCACTGTACAATTTACAACAGAAAAACATTAGCTTGTCACGTTTCATCTAGCAAAAATGGGAAGATCAACAGTAATGCATGAGCCTGTTCACTGGGTACATGTATAAGGCTATTTGTAATCCCAGAATCCTTACATATATGTGATACAGAAGATGGTGAGTAGAAAGGAAGCTTCTATTCCTGACAACTGTAGAAATACCTAAAATGGTACTCCTGTAGCTCATAGCTATGATTTCAAGATTTAAAATTCAAAGTATTTCTCAGAGTGAATTAGAGGCAGCCCAGCAGGATTTCCCCTTTGTAGAAATATCCACACATGGCTTTCAAAACCTGCACATATTTCAGATTCATAGTTCTTAGTTTTAGCCAGGAAGGCTTCCTTTATCTCGTGACACATCCATGAGTTTTTATTCAAATGATCCATTGGTTGAAGAAAAGTCAACTAAATGAGCAAAAAGAATAACACAGTAATAACTATTGAGAAGCTAAAGTCTAAAATGTGACATCGTGAATAGTTTAGAAGACTGATCAGAAAGAGTAATGACTCTTAATCATATTTCTAAAATTCCATTTCCATATTTCAGAATGAATTACAAATTAATAAAACTATTGGGCTGGGTATTTAGCTCAGTGGTGCTGGCACCTGCCTCACAATTACAAGGTCCTGAGTATCAAATACAAGAAAGTAAAACCAAAAATGCCTCAAATTTCCATGTGGATGGCACACTTCTAAATGTATGAAAATAGAAACAATTAAGTAAAAAAGAGTTCCAATAATTAAACATGTACAGAAAGCTATATAACCCAGACCAAAATCAACATCATCTTTCCACTGATAAAATTTAACTAAAGCTTCATAAAAATCTCTCAAGTGCTTCAATTAACAAATATTCAAACCTATTAACATAAAATCTTTGAAAAGCATTTAAAAATCTTTGTATAAGACACTTCAAATTAGCAAATTATTCAAAGGTATCTATATAAAAACATTTTTGAATCATTATGAACACTCTATAGTAAAAGGAAATGTTATTCTCTTTACAAATGGTGCATCTGAGAATCCCTTTAGCTGTAATCTTAGAAATTATTACCACTAAATATCCAAAATATATATATTTAAAGTGTGTAGCTATAACCTATGTGGTGAAGTTAACCTGAATGATCTGGTTACACAGATTCTTCCATGGAAAGAAAATAAATGTCTCCCTTTAAGAAATTCACAGTGATCTCATTGTACAAAAGAACATAGTATGGAATCAGCCAGAGCCATCTCAGAACTATAGGTTAAATACATTTCTGAAAAAAAAAAATAACTTTACAAGCATCTTTTGGGGAAACCAAAAAAGGATTCACTGATTGCAAATTATTTAACAGGCAAATACTGCACTGATTAATTTATCACAAGTGCAGGAATTGTCATATATTTTCTAGGTGTCTCAAGATAGGGAGCTGCACAGAATGATGGTGCCACTCTCCAGAATGCTTATGGAGACGCCAGGGAAGAGCCCTTTTGTATCCCCAACATATCTTTTATTTTATGATCACAACTCACTCCTCAGCACCAAGGTGCTTTTTTCCTAATGCTTCCCAGTTTAGATAGACATGAGTGTTTAATTTTTTCAATGTAATAATGGGACTTCTGGTTTCCAACATCTACATCATGTTTTCCTCTGGACCCGTTATACAAATTGCTGCTCAGTGTATTCACTACTATTTCTTTTCCTGTATTTTCAATTCAGAACTAGGGTCTAGAAAAGAGATTCTGTCAATGTGTCTCTCAATGTTCAACAGCAGTGATCGGTGACACATTACTACCAGTATTAGGGACATACAGGTGAAAGAATCAAGGAGTTCTCTTTTCTCCTGTGATTGAAAAAGTACACAAGCAGCAAGCACAAGACCAACAGTGGTGAGAGAGAATAACATTAACTATAAAGTAAGCATGAAACTACAAGCAATTCATATCAAAACTATACATGGAAGAGTATTGTCTAATATGCTCACATAAGGTTACAAATCAAAACCAACACTGTGTGAATTTCTATGGCGAGCCATTATGGTGAGCCTTGACACAGGCCTAGCCATGATTGAACTGAGTCACCTCGCTGGCACGGACGTGCTCTCGCCCATAGCCACGGGTGAGTTCAGCTGGTAGCAGATGTAACCCATAATGGTTGTTATTGTTTCCCTCTGGAATGTGTGGGCGGTACCCTCGCGCCCTCGCTCCTGTGCAGCTGGAGCGTATAAAAGGGAGAGGTTCTGTAATAAAGCAAGCAAGCAACCAACCAACCAACCAACCAAGCAACCAACCAAGCAAGCAACCAAGCAACCAAGCAACCAAGCAACCAACCAACCAACCAACATGAGAAGAAAGGTGCCTCCCGTCTCTCTGTCCTCATCCTTTCAAGTTTAGGACCTGCTGGCAGGATCCTGACATCGCGGCTCGTGACAAGTGGCGCCCGAACAGGGACCTGAAAGTTGATGAGGATATGCAATCCCGGACCCAGGTCGAAGGTAGCGACGGTGCTCCGGAGGACTGACCGCTGCGCCTGATCCTCGCAGTAAGTCTACCTTTCACTTCATGAACCCCGGACCCAGGTCGAAGGTAGCGACGGTGCTCCGGAGGAGAACCCCGGACCCACGTCAAAGGTAGCGACGGTGCTCCGGAGGAGAACCCCGGACCCAGGTCGAAGGTAGCGACGGTGCTCCAGAGGAGAACCCCGGACCCAGGTCGAAGGTAGCGACGGTGCTCCGGAGGAGAACCCCGGACCCAGATCGAAGGTAGCAATAGTGCTCCGGAGGAAGGTAAAAAGAAAGTAATAAAATAAAATAAAAAATAAAAAAAATAAAAAGGTAAAGAGAAAAAAGTGATAGAAGGTAGAGAGTGTCAAGTCCATTAGGGAAGAAAAAAAAAAAAAGAAAAGAAA